TTTTTCAGTGAATACGCGAAATAGCCAGCAGTTGCATTTACACAGCTTATGCTTCGAGYGCGTACTGATTTCACTTTTTGTTGCTGTTGCCATTTTTTCAAAAGCTAACTGTAAATAGATATCTCTCATCTGGAAAGTGTGTATTCACTGTCATTTCGCCTGCGCTTGTCAGTGAGCGTGTGTGTTTGTTATCAGTTAATCTATGTTTACTCACACATACATACATATGTATGTACATGTGCATGCATCTAAATTGTTACACAACAATCAATGTTTAGCTATCTGCATATAATTTATGACTAAATATGTATGTACGTATATTTTCATATTTCTCCTCAGTTGCATGTCTGTTCTYGTATGTTTGTATTTATGTGTGTTTGTATTGGTGTGTAATTCCCTATGCGGGAATATGATTAAGCTCCCATAAAATACCTATATCATAGATTTTCATTCAYTTCTTTTTGCCCAAAATATTTAAGTTATCGCAAAATTTAGTGTTTTTTTTTACATTTTTCATTTTTCTGTTTGAAATTGTTTACGGAATTTTCACTTTTAGCTTTTCATATATTTTCTTATTCTTTTTATTTAATATTATCTTTAATTTTTAGTTTCGTTCATTTTTTTAATATTTTTTTTTTTTTGGTTTTGTATCGATTATAATTATTTGATATTAATTTAAAGTACTGCTTGGCATTTCACTTACAAGTACATACAACAGGGTGTCCTCTAAACTACCTATATACTCGCATGTATGTATGTATTTGCATTTGTATTTGTATTTTGATGCTCTAACATCTCTTTAGCGGTTTTTGGTTTTTGTAAAAAATAGAAAATATTTTCAGTGCAGTATTGAAAAATGTTTGTGGAGATTGATAATTGCTTAACATTTGGAGAGCAGTTGCTTATTTTTAAAGATATATTAGCGATTCTTGAGTTTTTATGGTAGTTAATTTTTTTTTTCTTTCTTTACTTGTTTTATATATATATATTTATGCATAATCGGCATTTCAAGCAAGTTCGCATCGCTAACACCCTGTACATATTACGTCGTCACCATTTGCTCGTTTCTCATTTGTCTGCGCATTTTGCTTTTTCACTTCGCGATTTTCTTGCTTAAGCGATATTTTTATTTAGATATTTGTTGTTATTCTTTACCTTCTATATATTTATTTTTGCTTTTGTTCTTAACTTATTTTAATTATGTATATATCTGTACGTATTTTATATAATTCAAATATCTTGGTGGTTTCAAACTGTTCACATTTCAGATTTTGTATATATTTTGCGTATGCTTTAGCTTAATTTAAAGTGGTAAATTTTCGCAAAAGTATTTCAGTGAACTTATTAAAGAAATAAGGAAAATAACAATTGAAATTATTAGTGACGTTAAAAAATTAAAATAACCAGTTTTTGGGCGTTAAGTTGAAAACTATAAAATGCTATAATTTTCTGTGCGATTCTGCATTCACTTTGACTTTAAAGCGTCAGTCCGATACTTTATCGAACTGCCGAAAAATTCACCTAAGCCGTTATATGTATACCCACTTTTGAATAACATCTGCGGTAGTCACAACCCGTCGTAAAGCATCGTAAAATCGTAAAATATAAATTTTTACACTTGTTGGATTTCATACAAAAATGAGTTTACACATTCACAATTCTCAATGCTATGTTTTCGAATCGCTGTAACTTATAAGATTATGARAYTTGTGAAAACCCTAATTTTTTATTTGTTGATATTTGAAAATATAGCACAAACTTTGAAGTTGAGCTGGCAAATAATTYCGGCGATCGGTATTTGTAGAAATGTGTATCTGCTTGAACAGCTTTTATAATCTTAAATAATTTGTATCGCGAGGTTCGWATTGAAATCTTTAAATTACTGTTGTTTTAGATATATCTGCCAGGTTTGAGATACTTTCAAAAAGACCACACCGCCAGACACTTTGTCTARGAGGTCCTTCGGAAAGCACAAACTATGAAATCAAAAACTTTTCAAAATTAATCACCAAACGGAACATTATAGAACATTAAATTATATAAATAAAGATTGTTTTGATTTACTTATTTAATAAAATCTCTCTTAAAAAAATAAAAAATAACCTTGCTCCTTATAAATGAACTCTTTAACTACTAATAAATTAAAAAAAACAGATTTTGAGGAAAGTTTTTCTACATCCATTTGGCTGCTTAAGCAAAGACATATTTTGAAAGCTTCATAGTATTTGATCAAAGATCTCATCAAAGTACCAAAAAATGTTATATATTTTATATTTTTAAGTATTTACACTAAGAAAACGAAATAGTTGGGCAAAATATTTTTGATAGTAAGGAAAATAATAATTGAAAATATATAAATTTGCAAACGTGTGAATATATGTACACACCAGCGATTGGGCATCGAAAACTGATATGATTTTAAAAGACACAAAAAAAAAAAAAAAAAAAAATAATTACAATAATAAGGGACAGAACATCCTGTATATATACATGATACATACTTTTATGCTGATACATATATCTTCTAATTTATTGATAAATAAACGAAAAACATAGAAAAGACAAATTTGTTAATATGGCCAAGTACGAAATTGAAAATTGAAGCCGCAAGTTTTGCCGTTTTTGAAAATGAAAATTTAATATACAAAATTTAAAAAATATTTTAATTAACCTTACTAGATCT